AAGCAGAGCTCTCTAAATTGAAAGGGGGGGAGGGGGAGGGAGAGAGAGAGAGAGAGAGAGAGAGAGAGAGAGAGAGAGAAAGACCTACAGGCCTACTGCTAGGCAGAGTGAGAAGGAAGCCTCAGCAAATCACATTTGGTGTCATGAATGGGTAGCAAATTGTGAGTTACTACACTGATCATAATTGCATTCTTTTTACTTTTCAGGGAGGGGGGAAGGCACTTCTCTGTCTTTCTGCCTTGTGTGCCAGAATAATTTGAGCAGTACTTCTTTTGGTAGTGTCAAAGATGGATCATGGGGAAAAAATGAATAGGGAAGAAAAGGAAAGAAATGAAAGAAACTAGAGTGAAAGTAGAAGAGCTTCAGGGAGAGAAAGTGTGAGTCTTCTGATGAGAAAGTACAAGATAATCTCCTAATAGAAATGTATGGGAAGTGGATGTAAGGAAAGGCAAAGCGGAAGCTCTTGGAACAAAGTGGAAAAAACGCTACAAAATGATAACAGATGCATGTGGAGTTTTCTATTAAGAAATATCAAAAAGCTTGCTTGATGGAATTATGATGTGAAAGAAGCTGTGATGAGAAAAGGAATGCATGTAAAAGAATGATTTCTGCAAAAATGAAGTACTACAGAAAAATACTGTGCAATGCTTTTGGAGAGAAAAAGAATGAATGTAGTCAAAGAGAGCAAGTAATGCTTAAGACTAAACAAGACAGAGAACATATAAAGCTATTTTAATTAAAAAATTTTTAAAAACTTTCAGAATTGGATGAAAATGAGTAAATGGAATTAAGAATAAAAGTGATGAAATCATTGGTGATGAAGCTGGTGCTGGGAATGCTACAAGGATTATTTTGGAGATGGGTATGGGATTGCGATATGCTGAAGAATACAATTGAAATAAATGCAATAAATGTTAGTCTAGTAAATGGAATTAAGAATAAAAGTGATGAAATCATTGGTGATGAAGCTGGTGCTGGGAATGCTACAAGGATTATTTTGGAGATGGGTATGGGATTGCGATATGCTGAAGAATACAATTGAAATAAATGCAATAAATGTTAGTCTCCAAGAAAAAATGATGGCAAGAAGTAATAAATTTGGGGAGAAAGTTAAAAAGTGATAAGGCTGCAGATGTTAATAGGAGTAATGTCAAAATATAGATGTGGCCTGGTTATAGAAAGGCTGTGTGACTTGTTTAATATGTGTGTGAAGCTTGCATCTGTGTCTGATGGTCAGAAGAATGCTGTTATTGTTTCTTTATAGAAAGCAAAAGATTTAAAAAATGAATGTAAAAACTACAGCAGGATTAGTTGTTAAGTATGTCTGGACAGAAGTTTGGTAGAATTCCAATCAAAAGAATTTGAAAGGTGACAACAAACAAAATTTAGAGGTGTGGCTTTATGTCAGGGAGGGGATGTGCAGACCAGATTTTTGCTCTTCAGCAGGTCACTGGAAAGTATATGTATGAGATAAAGAAAGTTTATTGCATAATAAGAGGAAAGTTTTGATAATGTCTTAAATTATGGAAGGGAAGGAAGGAATGGAATCAAAGGTTAGTTGGTGGGTGGATTATGATAGAAGTAAAGCATGTGTGAGAATAAATGGATTGCTTAGCAAATGGTTCAGCACTGAGCAGGAACAGGTTGGATAATGCATATAGGAGTAAACATTTAAGGAGTGCTCATGGTGATGTTAAGAGTATTTTGGTTGGCAAGATGAATGTATGTGTACTTTTCTATGCAGACATGATGTTGCGTGGTTTGATAATCAAAAAGATTTGCAGCAAATGCTAAACTGTATGAAGCAATAAGTAGTATAGAACTGAAAATTAATGTATCAAAGATCAAGGTAGTGGAAATTGAACAACTGCAAGCTATACACAAAGATGAAAAACTGGAACAAGTAGATAAAGGTGTGTACCTTGTAGAATGTTAGCATTTTAAGATATGCAAATACAGGTAGAAAGGTGGTGAGTAGGATGTGTTCTAATGCAAGGAATAATTTTTGTTGAAAGAAGTAAAAATAGCTATGTGTAAATGCGCTTCTGCTTACTTGCAGAAATGAAAGTTGGGTATGTCAGAAAAAACAAAAAGTGGGATGCAGTGGGTATGGGGTACTGAAGAACTGTGATAAAACAAGAAGAGATGGGGCCAAAAATGAATGGGTGCTGAATGAATGTGGATTGAATACAAAAGTAAGTCTCCAGTACAAAAAAACTTTGAATCGGTTTGGTCATATAGAGAGAATGAATGAGGATTGAATTGGGAAAAAATGTATAAAGCGCGAATACGTTGAGAGCAAGTATAAGACTGAGGAAGTCATATTTCGATGGAGTTTATTAGGTCATGAAGAAGAGAGAGATGAGAAGTTTAAAGAACAAAAGAGAAAATATGAAACAGTATATTGAACATGATAAAAGCAAGGATGGTTTGCCAGGATAAAAAGGTATGGAGAAGTATAGTAATGGTGTTGGTGTCAACTAGATTTAATTAGATTTCCTTTTCTTTCCTTTTACCTCTGATTTCCTATCCCCAATTTCTTTTTCTTGCTATTCCTTATTTTTCTTTGTACTTACAATGTTGCTTACCCCACCAGTGAATAGTGTGATTGTTCTGTATGCACATGCAGTACTGCAGAACTTGTCAAGTTAGTTTGAAGGAAGGAGGGTTGCCATTTGCTGCTTAATATATAATTCTTTAAACTAAGTCTCTCTCTCTGACCTTGACAGCTCTCTCATAAGAAAACAGGGTCAGACTTGTGTAGTACCTGTGAGGGAGACTACCAGGAAATCACAGGTTAATATATGAGGTTAAAAAAAACATCCTGGAAGAAGACAATGACAAACTACTTCCATATTGTTGTCAAGAATCTATATAGGCTTGTTGGTGAAGTCATCAGAAACCAAGTTCTGCTTGGAAGAAGTTTACTTTTAAGGCTGATGTAACTTTATCTTTGAGATGGATTTGCAGGAACTTAAACATGCCACCATTTCCCAAATACTCACAGCACTGTCTTGTTTTCCAGGCATCAGCATTTCAGGGGGAATAGAATCCAAATTGCAGCCAATGGTGAAGATTGAGAAGATATTTCCTGGGGGAGCAGCCTCTCTGAGTGGAGAATTGGAGGTAGCTAAAGCAGTAGGGAGGGGAAAATGGGTATCTGTCACTACTGTCAGCTGGCTGAGTAGGAGGTTCAGATGCTCCTTGTTTCTCTCTTCGGCAGCTTAATGAAATGCTCTAAGACCATGATCAACTTATTCCAATCGCTGCAGACATCCATTTTATATAATCAGAGTAAGCCATCACTCAGGTATAAGTCTTGCACAGATTTTAGTAATTATACATTTAACCATCTGCTTGTGGACTTATAGTAACAGACTTGAGCTTCTCCAGAATGAAGCCTCAGTATTGCATAGTTCATCTTCTTTCAAAAGGATTTTTAGCAGTTAAGCTGTATAAAGCAATTGCTTCAGAAACTCTGTTGGGATCTACATTTCCTCACACATCCAGCAGGACAGCACCCCTACTCTTCTTGCCCCATGATAGCAGGGAAGTAACTGATCCAAAGTCACTCAGAAAAATAAATATTGCAACAGAGAACATCACTCTGCTGTCTTGACTAGATTCTATTCTTCAGCTCTCCTTCTCCTGTGGCACTATGCATCATTGTTCATCTTTCCCAGTTCTATGTATATTTATTCAGAAATAAGACCCACTATGTTCATGGGGGCTTCCTCACAACAGCAACCCATGTATGAAATTATGAAATGATTATTACCTTTATGTTCCTACCACCATATATAGCATTCAATTTCTGTAACTTTATTGGTGAGGAATCTATTGACATTTGTGCACCATACTTTAATGCAAAATGCGTGCTGCATAAACAGGATTGACTGATTTTTCTGGGAGAAGAAAAAATAGTTTTGTTATATAATCAATAGTTTTCAGTTAATCATATTAATCTTGCAAGTGTGGCACTGCTTACCATTCTACCAAGAGGAGACAGCTTCATGACCATACCCTGGAGCTACTTGCTTTAAAATTTTTCAGCCTGCCCTTCTCTTGTAATATGAGGCACGCTTAAATGTAGCCAGGCTTAAAAAATAAAAGAAAAAGGCATCAACTTAGCTGAGAGATAGATTTTAGGGTGACTCTACAACTTGCCATTTTTATTCTGAATTATTCATAATTTATTTTGGATACTATAATCAGAACAAATAGGGAGTGGGATCACAGACTTGGGGAAGGGGAATACAAATGAACTGATCACCATGTGAACAAAACCTTATACAGAATCTGATTCAGATTTGAGGACTAAAGAGGACAAGGGTTGTAAGCTGATCATCTTCCCTCCCTCCTCTGACCACATTGGAGGACTTGCCACCCTTTGACACCACAGCCTGGTCACTTTGTTCATTTAAAGTGATCCCTACCCTGCACGAAACAAATCTCATTGTGCTTTGTAGCTAAAGGCCTAGCAACATACACACCCCATTGTGCCATTCAGGGTCCCTCATAGTTCAAGGCGCTGTACAACATTTCCCAAGGCCTCTGTAATGAAGCTGGGGGTTGACAAAGAGCCATTGTGGACCTTGACCAGCCTGCCCGCCCACCAGGCAGCTCTAATTAGATTTCCCCCTTTGAGGGCCTCTTTCCATTAGGGGTTACAGGTTTGGTTTATGTTGATTTGGATTAGAGCCCAATGGACCTAGGTTGCTATGACAGAAGGGAATGGGAGTGGCTGGTAAAAACACAGGTGAAGCCCCTTTGCAGTTCTAAAACGTAGAATCTAAAATAGAGCTGCTAACCTATTAACTGGAACTGGCCAATATGGTCATGTAAAGCTAGTGTTTTGGTAGCTGTACAGGTTTCCAGTCTATTCCTGAGCCCAATTTCAAGACTTGGCACAATTCCTTCAAGCCTCTAGCATCTGTGAGCAGATCCCCACCTCCCAATCCCAGCAGCACAAACATTCACTCGGGGCAGAATAGTGCTTGGAGGCACTTCCTGCAGCTTTGCTTCTGCTTTAGATTGTAGATGCTGATCAAGCTATTCTGTGAATTCAGATTTGCAGTTGGATGGAAACATCAGGGTTTGAGTTGGTGATAGTTCTGCAGAGGCCTATATCTAACAGGACTTTGCCAATCTCCAAAAATTCTTGGCCCTGTAGTAACAGTATCAGTAACAAAGGAGCTTAGGGAAGTGAGCACTAAGAAACCTTTCTATTAATTTCCGACTCATTTACCTGGGGTTGGGGGTATAGAATGGGAGTTGAGAACAGAGAACTAGAGGATCCAAACTGGACTTTTTTTTGTGTTCCAGAGAGGCCAGTTTGTCTTGAACTGATTTAAGAGCCTGCTTGCCCCATCTTCGTACTATTTAAAAATTTAAAAACATTTTTCTCCCATTCAACCAAATTGGGTGGGATTTTTAAGAATCCCTTATGAAAGATGTAGTGTTCCAGTTAGGAATTTTTTTAAAAAATTGTTTGGGGGGGAATCCATCTGTTATGAAAATGACATGCAGAACAGCAATGACCTTAATAAGACCTACAGTACTTAAAAAATTTGAGAAGCTCAGGATAATAGGGAGTCTTTAACATTTTGTTGAGAATAAATGTATATGTCTTTGCAAAAGTCCTTTGTCTCTCTGAATTGCTATGGAAATATTGAAAGGCTTCAGAAATACTATCAATACTATTGAACTATTCACTAACATTAGTGCTTCAAAATTCCCATGTGCATGTCCAATATATAACCAATGATGACACATACAGATCTGAAAAAGGTAGAATTGTATTTTGCTATGCTTTTTCTGTTTTTCATTTTTGTCCCATGCTTTTCTTTGTTTTTGCTAGGCTGGCTATGAGCTGGTTGCAGTAGAGGGAGAGAGTCTGCAGAATGTAACACACCAGCGAGCTGTGGACGTAATCCGCCAAGCCTACCGCAACAAAGCTAAGGAGCCCATGGAGATTGTGGTGAAGGTGCCGAAGAAAAGCAAATAAATGTTGCAGATCAAGCAGTTTATGCGATGCTACTGTTAATGAAGGATCTGTTTAACTATATCTGCCCATTGTTCAGAAAGGTATGGTATCAGGGAAACAAATTGCTAGCTGGGTTACTAAAATATCTGCCACTCAGCAAGCTTTCAGGCTTAATGGAGCAAGTAATAGTTTTCCAGTTCTAGAGAGGCATGTTTGGAACAGGACCAGGGAAGATTAAAGATCACATTGCCCAGTTCAAGCAACAAGTACTGTTTCCAAAACTACAGTTAGCTGCACGTGGACAGCTGTCACTAAGAGCAATTGCTTTGCAATGAATTTCCTGCTGAAATGAGTTAGCATCTCAGAGGAGGAGACATTGTTTTTGACATTCAGAACCCAACCCCGAGTTGGCATTTCCTAGATGGTAAGGCCAGCTCTAGCTAACAGGAGCCATAAGGAAAGGACTACAAAGAAAAATCAATATAACAATTGGAGGGGGGGGGATATTTGTTAACTCAGGTTCAGTAATGCACAATTGTAAATTTACATATACTAATGCATTTGCAAGTGAACCATGGAGTTTGAAAGACAATAATCCAAAATCTCAGATTGTAAATTCAAGACTCTGGACTTAATATTCTCACTGAAACTCTTAAATCCACTGTTGAGTAAGCCACAAACTGGCAGCAATCCCAAGAGGAATATCCAGGAAAACAAAGAAGTAGTCATTGTTTGCATCTGGCCTCAAAGCCACTCTCAGTGATTGCCATAGTGCAAGCCAGCAAGGAACACAGACTGAAAAAATCAAGTTTTTGCAGGTTGCGGTCTTCTCAGAAAGCCAGATTCACTGCCATCCTCAGTATTGTGTTAGTTATCACCTAACAGAGAAGATTAACTAAAGGAATATTGCTATCATTTTCTCAGTCCTGAGCTGAAGTAACTATTTTGGATCAGAGTTGGCTGATTTCCAAGTGACAAGTCAATACTTCTCATATGGAACAACTGCCAGATGTTTACAAAGTGCCATCACATGCATTTTATAGGCCGGAGTGGGGGAAAAAAAGCAGTAGTGGTAAGAAGTTCACTGAGACCCAGGAACAAGAGCAGGGATGTGAAATTACAAAGCACACTCCATGCTAGATATAAGATAAAACTTTTATCTCTGCCTTTATCCACCATTAGAATAATTCCACCTTCTGCTCATCCTTCCATGTCTCATTGTCCCATTCATCAAACGTACATGTGACTTTTCTTTAAAAAAAAAAAAAAGACATTTTTCTTAGCTTTTTTATTTCACACTTTTCTTTTGGTTTGTACAAGAAATTTACACCATCTGGAAAATATACAATTTCAGAAATAAAGTAAAAGAAAAATACACAGTGGTGCTAAAAGTGGGTTAAGGAAGAGGTATAGGTTGCTAATAGTTACAGAAATGACATGCACCAAGCTTTTCCTTTGGTCTAATGGTGTTTGTCCCAATGCACCCATTCTGCAAGCTCTGATAACAATGGGCAATAGGGAAGAATGTCTGGCAGTGAGTGGAGATTGCCTCTTCTCTTGGAATGCACAGAATTTCCAAAATGTAGCTAAATACCATGATCCTCCTGCAAACAGTCCCAACTCTTCCCAAATTTTTCAGACTGTTCATTTTTGCATCCAGAAGAGGACCTGAAGCAAAAGTTAGACTAAGCTAGCAGAAAGCAGCTGCCCTCTATTCTAACAATATAGCAGCTCAGCCCAAATTGGCCTAAATAGGATGACAAAACTACAGTATGCTATACTTTGGCTGCATCCTGGCCAGAGCACATTCCCTGTTGACTTTTTTATAGCCAGAGGAAAGAGGCTAACAACTTCTAACCAACTTGACATGGTGGGCATGTCTTGCATTGGCTGGTCTGATTCTCATGGGTTGGAACCAAAACTCAAATCCTGCTCTGAGGTCCCTTTATTCAACCCCACCTGATCCAAATCTCTTCAGCCTTTTGTAACCACAGGGAAGTGTATTTACTTAGTCTGAAAAGAGGAGTCACATCTCTCCAGCAAAGAGAGCACTTCAGTTTGTAATTAACCGGCTATTTTGTCAGTCTAGTTCCTTTGAAAATGGCTTTTCTGCAGTCCAGAATTCTGACTTACCCTGTTTCACTGACCATTTTTCTCCTGAGCATACAGTGGAAGACAAAGAGGAGGTCAGTTAACCATCTAGTAGCCCCCACATCTCTCTTTACAGAAGTCTGTGCAGATCCACAATACCCTCTGCAAACAGAACTTCTTTCCTTTAAAAGGAGCTCCTTGCAGTTGTCACTGGCCTCTGAGGGTAGGAAATCAGCAGTAGGGCTGGACTGAGCACCTACTGAAATATCACTGTATCCTAATGCAGTCGATACACCTTGTTCAAGCACAGATGCATGGACAGCTTTTAAGGAGAGGAAGCTGTACGGCATGCATGGAATAGAGTGACTCTGGTATGCTATTAGTCTTGAGCACATTAGAAGGGTAGACAAGTAGTCATTGTACCCTTACAGGACAGACTGCACTGCAAACATTTTGCAGGGCTCCAAAATGATCATAGTTCAGACTAGATCAGATCTTGTAAAAAATGACAGGGAAGGGAACATGGATGCCTGGGAAACTGAGCTTCTGAGAATCACAAAGGATACTGTACAAAGAAACAAGACTATCATGAGGGAAATGCAGATTTAAACTCAGCCATCTTTGACCCTCAAATAAGTATGTAGCGTGCAGGACATGGATGTTGTTGGGCAAACAAGTAGATGCTGGATGAAGGTGAGTAGTGAGGGAGACATACCCAGGCAAGCAAGGCCATGGGAAAGACACTCTGAGTAGAGTTCCAACCAAGAGCAGAAAAGGCAAGTAAGGGGAAATGGAGATCCCCTCACAGAAAATAGGTGTGCTACACTTAGGCTTTTTTTTTTTAAATCACCCTTCAAGAAGGGGGAGGCGGGGGAGAGAGAGTGTAGTAGTGACATAGTAATGTTAACAAAGGCAGTGGAGCCAAAATATTTGGTACAGAGCTGTGATGAGGGATTGAGGGGAAGAGATATTCTGGGGATTTTTTTAAAACAAAGAAAGTAAAATAAGTGAACAAAATCTAGTGGAGCCTTACCACAACTATTTTGTTCTTACTTTAATTTATTTTTAAGTGAAAAAAATTGTGCCACTGAATTCCAACATTTTTTCTGCCAGATTTTGGTGCCATAATCTAGAGATAGGCTCCTGGGATAACCAAAAAGATCCTGAGTCTGTTTTAAGAATCTTTGGTTTTTATAACACACTCCTATGCATGCCTACTCAGAGGCAAGTCCCACTGAGTTGAACAGTCTTACTCCCAGGTAAGTCTATAATATGGATGCAGCAATAAGTGTGTGGTGGGGGTGGAGCAGGAGAGAGATTAGGTCTCTGTTTCCATAGCATAGGAGACATCATGCTTTCCCTTAAAAAACTTAGCATAGGGTCTTCCCACAAAGCTTTGGGTGAGAGAAGCCAAAGGACTGCATATATTCTGCAATTCCTTTGCCTTTTAAAAAGCACAGAATTTGGAGGCATGATTCAGAATCCTGAGAATCAGCTTTGAACTTAGTACAATTCATTAATTGTACTAATAATTCATTTTTATCTTATAAAAAGAAATAAGCTTGGACTAATGCCCAAATTTCCAATTCTTTGGCCCACATCATCTATTGGCCAAAGAATTGCCTACAAAGGTCCTTACCCTTCCGAACTACTGGAAATATGTGCAAAAAGGAAATAAATGCAAATGTATTTCATCTGCATAGCTATCAGGGTCAGTTTTCCATAATACAAGTTTTGATTGTATGTGCTTATGTGTTTGGGTTTCAAAAAGATGTACTTCACATACAATAGAGAACTGGGTAAAAGTCCAAGAAAAGCCTTCCATAAACAAAGCTTCTAAAACTGGCATCTAACTGAATTAGCAGCTAATTAGCTGTTGAACAGCCAAATCTCCCTAATTGCTAGCAAATGATGGCTGAGAGTCCACTGGGTCATTTCATAAATGTAACAGAGGAGGAGAGTAGAAGCAAAACTGCTTTGCGCAATCCTGGCAATCCCACCCATGCTACTCTCATCTCCAACTGGCCCAAAGAGCAAGAAGGAAGTGGTGATTCCTGGGGTCTTGCGGAAGGCCAGTTAGCATTGGGGTTTGAAAGGCAACAGCATCTAACAGCCTCTTCCCAAAGCAAAGGCTGTTCTTGCTTCATTTCCAGTGAAATGCTGGAATAAAGGCTGCTGCTGCTGCTGCTTTCAAAGGAAGGATTTTGAGAGTGTGGACCCTCCTTCTCCCAGGTTGGCCTGGAAATTAATAGTGGAAATCTTTAACCAGCTCCTATACTCACTAGAGGCAAGGCCAGCTGCCTGGTTTTACACACTACTCTACTTTTAATAGCCATTAAAACTGTTGACTTACTGAGGGTTCATGACCAAGTTTAAGTGATGGAACAAGTTCTATCACTGGGATTTATGACTGTGCCTTATAGAAGGTAGCTCTTTCCACTACTGAACCCAGGCTCACTGCCTTCTCAGCAGCTCAGTCAGACAAAATCCCAGGGAAACATGCTCTAACCTGGCCAGTATCTCTTTGTGGCAGTGTGGCCCATGCACTATGGCTTCCATGAGCATGTTCAGATCTCAGTAGCTGCAATCTCCTCCAAGCAGATGCCTTCACCTCCATGCAGCTCATATTCATCCATGTCCCGGGCCTCAAGTTCAAGACTGAGATGGCGTAGCTGGCACTCTAAATCACGATTGTGTCGATACATCTGGATGTAATTATGCTGCAGTTGCTTCTGATAGCGGATGACCCTGTCCTTCTCATCTTGCCAAGTGATACGCTCAGCCTGGAAAGCTTCCTGTTGCTCTTGCCCGCGACGTCGCTCACACAATAGCTCTGTGCGCAGCCGTTCAGCTTGGGCACGCAAGCCCTGCAGGGTATCCGCTGCTTGTCGCTGGGCTTTTACCTCATCACATTCAGCCAACAGGGGGCAGAGTTCTCCACTAGTGTTGCGCAAGGCATCTAATTCATGCTCCAACCGCCCCACCTTCTCACGCAGCAGCTCTGCTTCACTCTTGCGCCTGGCCAACTCATTGGCACATACCTCTAGCTCCATTGCCTTGGTACGAGCCACCTCCTGCAAACTCAAGGCCTGCTCTTCACTTGTCTGCAGTTCAGCCCGTGCTTCTCTCAGTTGGGCCCTTAGTAACACTAGCTCATTACCCCGCTGCACGACCTCTGCCTGGGACTCCTTCAGCTGTTGTTTTAGTAATGAGATCTCACCTGACTTCTGGCAAACCTGGTGGGAAGGAAGAGATATAAGATGACAGGGAGGACGCCACAGTGTCCCATTTCAAGTTCAGCAGAGCTAAGATCTGATTCCATGATATGAATGGTAAGAGTACCTGTTGTCTTTCAGTTCAGGGAAAAATAACTGACCTAGTGAGATCACAACTCAAAGTTGTGTTCAGGTCAGCAGAGAATGAGATTGAAAAGACTTCAAACAATCCAATAATTTCAATGGGATGAACGTTCTCCTGTACTTCTCCCACATAGATCAGCAAACAGGAAATATTTCAGGGCAATATAAAATTTCTTCCCTCAACATTCCCCCTGTTCTGCTGTCCTTCCCCAAGGAAGGGGAAACCACTATTTCCAAAACTGCTACCAGAACACTATCAAAAAAATTGTGTGCTTTTTTATCTGGGATCACATTAACCCTTGTTTTATTTAATCATAATTAACTAATTGTTATTAATTAGTTGATATTAATTAAAAATTAAATTAGTCTAATTAATTAGTTGATATTAATTAAAGATACAGTTGGTTGAATCCATGACGCACTGAACTATAAACCAGAGATAAAAATCTACACAAAGTAGAATCTCATTTTATGACTTAATATAACATGGGAACTGTGTGTTAGAGAGAGAAAGTACATGTGAGCTCTAGTGTGACCAATTTGCAAAAGCTTTTAAAAAGGTATAATTCTATGGTACAATTAGAAAAGTGAGCTTGATCTCTCTAACCCAGTGTTTCTCAACCTTGTCAACTTTAAGATGTGAACTTCAGTGCTGGCTAGGGAATTCTGGGAGTTGAAGTACTCAAATCTTAAAGTTGACAAGGTTGAGGAACACTGCTCTAACCTGTCATTCAGTTTAGCTGCAGGGCAGAGAATGAAAATACCCATGCCTAATGCTGGTGCTACCCTCTTACAGTTCTCCGACTTTCAAGACCTATGGAGGAGCATCCCTCCTCAATCCCTCCACTCACCTCCCACTTGGTCTCTTCCAACCGGGGCCCCAGCTCTGTGTGCTCCCGTTCAAAGGAGGCACAGCGTTGCTCCAGCAGCTCACGCTCTGCGAGCAGCTGCACAAAATCCTCCTGGAGTTTCTTCTTCTCCTGCTGCAGCTGGTAAATCTGGAGTTGGAGCACCTGCTGACTACGCTGAGCCTTTTGGGCCGATTGCTGCAGCTTAGCACTGAAGCCCTGCCGGAGCTCTTCCATCTCCTCTTCACAACGCCTCTGCTTTTCCTCATATACCTGAAAGGAAGAGGGGGAAAACCACGGCTGGAAAGTAGCACTGACATAGTTGATATTATATAACCATCTCCTTGGATTCTTAAGTTTGCCCCAGAACAGTCCCTTTCTATCCTGGGCTTTCTGGAATTGTGGTCCTCCTTCCTAAAGGTTGCCTCAAACAAGGAGGGCAACCATATTCCTTTGCATAACCTGTAGCTCTTTTAAGTTTTAAGGAAGACAGTAAGCTGCAAGCAGGCTGTTAATGAAGGGCCTGGACAATGAATATTACTGGAGGACAGAACTGTACTTCTAAAAGTGCCACAGTTGTTGTTTGAGACGAGAAGTGATCAAAGTTTGAGAAAGTGATCAAAACAAAGAGAGCCAGAAACACTGCAGGAAAAAACAGCCAAATGATCCAGGAGCTGAAGCAAACTCTATAAAGACAAGATTACAACATTGAGATCTATTTGGCTTCTTTAAAAAAGCAAGCAAGAAGAAAAGGATAAAAGTATATACAATTCTGCATGGTGAAGAAATTGGAAAGGAAAAATGATTTTGCGTCTTTTGTAACACTATACTCTGAGATTAACCAGTGAAGCTGAACAATGGGAGATTCAGGAACCAATATTTCTTTGCATAGCACCTAGTTAAACAGTGAAATTTACTACCACAAAATGAAGTGATGAGAGCTACCACCTTAGATGGCTTTAAAGGGGAATTAGATAAATTCATGAAGAACACCACTATTAGTCATGATGGCAATAGGCCACCTCCAAGATCAAAAGCAGCATGTCTCTGCATACTGAGGTATTCAGCACATATCAAGGCTATAACACTGACATCTAGCTGGCCACACTAAAAAACAAGATGTTGGACTAGGTAGCTTTTTAGTATAATCCAACAGCAATCTTCTTACTAGAGTAACAGATTTATTGGTAAGAAGAATTTGGATGAATGAAGGTATAGGCAACCAATCTTAGGTTCTTCTGCTTAGATCTCAGCAGAAATACTCCAAAAACAATAATTTATGAGTTTCCAAAATTACTCACCTAGATCATAGATGATAATAAAAGTTTTAAGATACATTCCAGAAATTACTTATTATGCTGAGGAAAGATCAAAGAGATAAAAGGAGAAGCAGCTAATAATGGAAGAACCAATCTCAATAATGAAAATGAAATTATATTGCTAATTCATTCTTACAGATGACCAATTGTTTTCCAGCACTATTGCATTCAGTGCTGAAAATATCCACCCTTACTCCACTGAAGTTGCCAAAACAGGGGGAAAAAGATCTGGCACTTGGCCTATCTGGTCCTCAAGGAAGCTCAGATTTCCTGCATGTTATTGAATATAATCCAACTAGTTCCAGCCCTACACCAGCTGCTATATGAAAGTTGCCTATCCCAGTCTCTGATAAGGGCAGCTTCACTGCAGAAGCAGTCTTTAGAAAACAAACACTGCCCCCCCCGCAACTTTGTATATCAGAAAGAGCAACAAGATACCCTCATTCCCATACCCAGCTTACCTGGCATATGGCCACCTCATTCTCATCCAGACTCTCTCTTAAATGCTGCAGCTCAGCTTCACGCTCCCTCAGCTTCTCTTCAAGTTCATGGACAAGAAGGGCTTCATCAGCGCCACTGTGCATAGGGGAGCGTCCCCCACAGGAGCCACTGTCAGAGGAAGGATGCCCGCGGCCACTCAGGGAACCCGTGCTCTTGCTCGAGGATGACCGCCCACTGTCTGAGTTTGACGGACCAGTAAGACCTCGTGAACTGTTGCTGCCATGGCTGTCAAGATTAGCATGGCCCATGGAGATGCTGACTGGCTCTACTTGCTGGCTGCAACCAGTACTGTATGTGGGTAGGCTGGAGAGGGAATTGCGTCCAGAGTCTGACATTGTGCCAGAATGGGAGCTGGTACGGCAGCTCAAAGAACTGAGCTTCTCTGTAGTGCTTACAGCATTGGCACCAAAGAGCTGGGCGAGGCTAGACTGGCTCTCAGAGAGCACCGAAGTCCCAGGACGCAACGCCAAGTGGCCCTGGAGTGGGAGGTTGCGGTTCTTGGGCATAACTGGCTTGAAGGCTGTAGGGCGAATTAGCGTCTTCTCCATGTTCTGAGAAACAGCAGAAAGCAGAACTTGATGAAGGAAGGACAAATTAACTAAAACCCTCTCCCTTTAACATGCTTTCAGTTAAGCCACAAGCAGAATTACTCACTACATTTCATAAAAGAAGAAATGACTCCTCTTTATCCTCAACAAAGTTAGAGGAGATTCGTTTGGGATAGAGTCTCTTCCTCATCAGCTGTGCCAACAGTTCCCAGGTTAGGAAGGCTATCACAATTGGCCACTTACAGCCAACACAGATAGATGCAATCCACAACATCCTTTAATCAGTATGGACTGAATGGCAGACCTTCCTTACCCCTGTGCTGCTAAGGAAGCAGAGGGGGAAGAAATCCCTCACTGATGTGTTTTCTCAAAAGGTGAACCCCCTGCTTTCACTATGAAATTAAAGTGTAGGAAAAGTATAGCAGGCCCACTGGGAGAAGAAGGGGCATTGCAATTTTGTCCTGTTCAATCTGTATTCATCGTTATCTAGATCAGAAATTGGCAAGCTGCAGCCTTCAACTTTTTTTTTTTTTTTTGCAGTCCCCCAAAACTTTCAGGATTATGCCACAAAGATTCTTGGAACGCATATTGAATAAAAATGGCATAGTTTTCCTCCAATTTTTTCTTAAGTCAAATGAAATAAATATATTACGTCTTCCAAAAAATAAACCTATCCATTTCAATGGTGGGGTGAGAACTAAACCTCAAAAATGATTAAAGAGCCCAAAATTCCAGCTCCAGCGGTGATATCATCTCTCTTGTCCACCAGCAAAAAAAATCAACTAAAGAATAAGATTCCAGAGCCTGGCCACAAATAGACAGCTTACACTTGCTCTAGGTGGAAAGGTCTAATTGTCCTGCCAAAGTGCTGCCTCTTCTTACCTTCTCAAGTTTCCCTGAAACAGGAACCAACTTGGGAGGTGGTCCACGGATGGTGCCACCTCGTGGTTTGTCATCCTGCAGATCTTCTGCATCACTACAGGGGCTGATGGGGGATACAGCTTCAGCCCAGTCCTCTTCACTACCATAAGCATAGCTGCTCTTCTTCGTAGGGAGTCCATGACACAGAAGCTCTTGGGAGCCAGCATTTCCATGCAGGGGAAAAGCACCAAACTCAGCGGTGGCCTTATGGCAAGGCCGGCCTGAAATAAGGCTGCTGACACTTCCCATGTCTGCAGGGGATGAGCTGGCACTAGTATGGAGCTGGGAAGCCCCTTCAGAGACAGATTCAATAGAGACAGGCAAGGTCTGCACTATGGCCATGATGGTCACAGTAGAGCCTTTGCAGGTAATCTGAAAGAAAGAAAAAATATAAATTGAGAACAGGCACTAGAGATGGAGCTTTGTGTTATGGATACCTTATGAACTACACAGAAATCTGAATTTCTGAAAATCTGGGCCAAGACACTACATTCTATAAGGCTGGGTTCATACAACAAAAACCTATGCCCAAACAAATAAACTACAGTTTACCTTAATGTGGTGGCCTGGTTCATACAACATACCAACTAATGATCCAATCCCATTTTTTCTCAGTCTAGTGTGCTATTTGACTCCAGGCTACTTTTAAACTGCATCTAAGATAGTTGTTTTGACTGTAGTGTTGATTTTGTTTATGACTTGGACGATTGGCAAAAATATTTATTTTCAGTTATCTAACTAATTAAAAGTCTAAATAGATAACAAATTGCAATGAAACATAACATACTAACTAGCTGAAGCCAAAAGCCTCACTCTCTGTCCCATTTTCAATGTAATATATTATTGTCAATCATATTTAAGGCATGATTTTTAATGATATATAAAATTGGGCAAAAGAAATAGCAGCAGCTGATGGATATACAGGTTTACTGAAAAACTTTACTGCCAGATTCATTAAAAATGGTTATTGCCTACAGTGCAGAAATAAACCAGGTAAACGACATTTCTCAATGTTATTACTGTAATCCTATGTGCTAGAAATTTGGTTCTTCAAAAGGAAATGGGTAAGAGTTTTTGAGAAGAACATTCTCTTGCCAATTGCTGCTGGGTAACAGTAGGCAATGCAACTTCTCCCTTCCTCCCCTTTCACACTCACACACATATACACACACAGAAAGAGGAAACAGCAGCCTGTCCGAACCCCCCCCCCAGCATTAATTCAATTTCCTATGTATAAAACAGTGCATGTCCTTCCTTTGTCACATGCCCCACATATGTTTTTTTGAAAATGAAGATGACATCAGCAGAAGAGATGATGAAGAGATTCACACCCTTGCTGTGTCTAGAGAGAAGTGGGGGACGGGGCTCAGCCAAGCTAACCGGCATTTGACAAAACAGGCATCTTCTGACTCAAGGTCCAATTCCCAGATGTGGACTCTCTTAAGACAACACAAGACAGGCCTGGGACTCTACAAAGCAAAGTTGTTTATCAGTTCTCAGCTCCGTGCTCTGCCAGACCACAGGTCATTGGAAAGGTCTGTAAAAATGGCTAAATGGAAGATGAAAAAAGCAGCTTTGGGGAGAATGGAAAACATCAACAAAGTGGAAGGAGAAGCGAAGCAAAGAATAAGCTAAGGAGCAGAGACTTAGTACGTTTCACATTTCATTCACATAGGAGACATTAGCGATCCGTCTATTTCTGTCAACTATTTTGCAGAGGCTAGTGACCGTCATGGAAACTCACTAGGTGACTGTGGGCCAAGGCCCCTCTCTTAGTCCAACTACCTGACAGTGTTGTTTGGGGGAGGGGGAATTGGACAATGGAGTGCTATGTATGGACTGCTCTGAGCTCCTGGAGGAAAGGCAGGATAAAAAAATAAACATTCTAAATTGGACTAAAATAAGATGGGTAATTTGTGGTTCAGTGTGTTGCAGAAATCCAGCCTATGAGTGTCTTTGCTGGCATTTTGTGGTCATAAGGATATCTGCAACTCGGCTATGGTAGCCCTAGTTAAACCATAACAAGGATTGTTTATTTGGGCACACCATGTTAGCATACCATGCGAACACAGCAACTGTATTTTGTTAAATCAAGTTTAGAGTTTAGCATGTTATGTGGATCCAGCCAAAAAATATCAAAGTGCAGATTAAGAGGGCCAGGCAATTATATCTTAGCTTCTTACAAATAGAAGGGAAATCTTCCTCTAGAGTAAGATTAAAGGCTACTTTCCATGGGTGCTGATGGTAGGTTTTTTTTCCCCCTTCCCTTGATTCAGGCAGACTTGCTAAATAAAGCATCAGAGCTTAGAGACTATGGTGTTTGCAAATTTTCCCATGCTTCTCATGCCCTGAAGTTCTTACACAGATGCTATGTTTATATGACTCAATGTTACTGGGATGAGTGTTTGGGTGGTTTTTTCCTTTGTTTGCTGGGAATGCCTCAAGTCTAATTTTGTTTCTATTCAGTGTTGTTCTAAACAGATGTTATATATGTGTTTGTGTGTTTACGCGCAATATGTAAATCTGAAAGCTTCAGCATAATTAATCTAATATTTCATTGTTGACCTCACAATTCTTCAGCAGCAGTAAGCTTCTATGTGTGTGTCAAAGCACACACACCATCCATGCACACACACACACACATTCAGACATATAGACCACATGCACACACCCCCAAGTGACAGTAGCAAAAGAGCCACTTTCATTTACAGAGCATTTTAACCTGCTTTCCATGCATTCTTTGGGGTTCCTCCCTCACACTTTTATTTCAAAGGAGCACAATGTCACCTACCCAGGGGAAACAGTAATAGCCCAGAACATCCTCATCTGGAAAGAAGATCAGTCTCTCCTGGCCCTTCAAGCTACGAGGGTTAATGTGGATGACCTCTACCTACACCACAATGGTTTATTCCAGCTGCCTCTCCTAACTATAAAGAGCTGGTATGGGCAATTATAATAATAGATTTATATGTCTCCAAGAAAATCTGAATGTCTTGTCCTCTGGCTTTGGCACTGTGAACTGTTTACAAGCATTTTCCTTCTGCAGTTGACGTTCAAGTCTCACAGGGCTCAGAAGCAATTCCACTTAACAAAAATAAATCATGGACTGAACATTTTATATCAAATGATTTTGTAAATCCATCCCAGAATGGCACTAGCACCTTCTGCAAGAGCATTATCCTGTTAATTAACGTTCAGCGTAGGAGGCAGTCTATCCATTCAGGGACCTGCAAAATACTTGCCTGGGGTGACGAATACGAGGTTCCAGGAGGGTATTTCCATGCTATCCCACCAACAAAGGAGAGCACTGGGAGAGGGAAGTCCAAGTAGCAGCAACAGTAGGAGCTGTCCTCCCCCCGCCCCACTTCTGCCAACTCTGCTTCCTCCTCCCTTTGCTGCTGCCTATAGAACAGATTTCCTTTTTATAACCTGCCCTCTGCGCTGTGCTTTAAATAGAAAACGCCTGTATCTCCTGCTCCGGCCGGCAGTTCAGGATCATGGAGTGGAACTAACTCGCATTTATTTTAACCTTAGGCGCTAGACCAGCCCTTGCTCAGCTCCATCTTGGGCAGAGCTGGATGTCACTAGTACTGCAAAAACAACAAATCTGCAAAGGGACACTGAGGAGATGAAACAACGATGACCTCTGACTTACTATCTTGGCTATGCTTCTCTTTCTTTTTCCAAACATTTGCCTCTGCCCCATACCTCGTCTGCTCTCTAATGAAAGACAGGCTCCTGCAATAATCCCCAGGGTAAAGGGGTTTAGAGTTCATTGCACTATTACTGGGATGATTAAAATGAAAGACTCTTCTCTTGAATTTAAAGAGAGAACAAGTCTCTGGATTAGGCCCCTCAAGTTACACCTATAAATGAAGACATGTAAATCGGAACTACTTAAGACCAAGGCAACCATCACTTCTGGAAGGAGAAAAAAATGCACGCTTTGTATTTCTGATCCAGTAACCCTCCCCCCATAAATATGGTCAGAAATTTTATAGGACATGAGTAATGGACGCAAATTACTGAAGAGAAGGAATAGTGACCACGTTGCTACTGTCTACCAAGCAAAAGCTAATGCATAATAACAGAAAGAAATTACAATGAGAATACAGGCGTACCTCGGAGATATTGCGGGTAAAGCCAGTCACACGAATTTTTTGGTTTCCCAGTGCATATAAAAGTTATGTTTACACTATACTGTACTGTATCTATTAAATGTGCAATAGCATTACGTCTTAAAAAAACAATCTACATACCTTAATTAAAAATACTTTATTGTTAAAATTGCTAATCATCATCTGATTAATAATAATGAAGAAGTTTGAAATATTGCGAGAATTACCAAAATGTGACACAGAAACATGAAGCGAGCAAATGCTGTTGGAAAAATGGTGCCGACAGACTTGCTTGATGCAGGGTTGCCACAAACCTTCAATTTGTAAAAAAAAAAATGCAATATCTGTGAAGCCCAATAAAGTGAAGCGCAATAAAACAAGGTATGCCTATATGTAAAACCAGATTGGGTTAGGTTCCAGATGTGTCAGGGAGCCAGGTGAGATCACCATTCCACAATTCCAATACTGGATTCCTCTCAATATTGTGGATACAACTCCAATTATTTCTGACCATCCCCAGCCATGCTGACAGATGCTGCTGGGGTTACAAGAACAAATCAAAAGACAATTCATCCAATTATCACCATTTCTCACGGATCAAACAGAGACCAGGTTTTCTTCTTGCACTACATATTATTCAGCTCATCAATCCAAGAAGGTTATTTCTATATCATCCCTCTTTTCTATATCTTCTCTTTCATTATTCCTCTCTGCCCTTGCTCTCACCCTCACCCCACCAACAGCTGTGAGTACATTTAATCTTCTGCTTTTAACTATACTCCATGCATCAGATGAAGTGGGCTGTGGTCCATCCAAAGTTTATGTCATAACAAACCTGCCATAAGAGTCTTTATTATTTTTGCCACCAAAAAAACCCCCAACCTACAGCTACCCCTCTGGAAACATTGGGAGGGAATCATCCTGGACCACAATCTGGTACTGTTTGGATATTCTGGACTACAGCTCTCATGATTCCTAACTAGCATGGCCATTTCTTCTTAGGCTAGAACTACAAGTTGCCTTAGGATGAATTATTCTATTCAGTTCAGTATTGTTTGTACTCACTGGCAGCAATTCTCTAGGGTTTCCAACTCTACTGGTAGATGTTACCTGATGATACTAGACAGTGGACCCAGAATCTTGTCTGACAGAGCTCTACTATGAACATAGATCTGAGCAGAATCTATCCTTGAATGAACAACAGAACTTCAGCACAGCTAAACTCCTTTAAAATGTTCCTTGAAGTAGTACTAT